TGAAATAGACGTTGTTTGAGCTACTAGTAGTAGAGAGGCGGCTTATTTACCGTGCTCATTTGCTAACCTATGCAAGACTAGCACTGTTTTGGTCTTTGATATTTTTATCTAAAATATTCAATAATTTCAGTGCACCATGTTCGATTAGTGCCCAAGGGTTACGGTAGTGATTAGTGGGTACAAGCTCTTGTAGATGGTGTTCGTGTCCCATGTAATCCCCATTGGAAGAGTGGCTCAATATTGTCACCACTTTTTATGGGGGGGGTTGCTCATGTCGGAACAAAAAGGCACAAATGCTTGTCCTCTGGTCCAATGGCTTCTGGCCTTTATTTCACCTCCAGAACCGGTGAACACACACGGAGTTTTATTTAAAAAATGCACAAGCAAAACTTAATCTCCTCTCACATTTGCACCGGGTCGAGTCACACAAAATGTCTGCAAGAACTGATGAGGAAAAACCCAGAGGTCAAAGGAAAATCCCAAAAGTGCTACTGCGGCGGCGCCTCGGGGGCGAGCCCAACAAGCTGACTGGCAGAGCCTGGCACGGCCCCGTGGAGCCACATCAGCGCCCCCACCGATCTGTCGGTGCCATCGCTACAATTTTTTTTCACGGTTCTCGGCCGAATGGCCGAACTGAATAGGTTATGTACATTGTGGAAGCACAAACTCACTGGCGATTTAGCACGACTGAGCCTCATGGTATTGTATCAAGAAAGGTTTCTATCTCAATACTGATCTCATATTTTGTAAATAATTTTTTGAAAAAAAATGTTTTGGGGCTTTTTTGTATTAATTTTGAATTGCCCACTGCATTTCATTGTACTTCTTTGTCACAATAATGCAGGCCCCCGTTACTTTGTTTGGTATGGAGATTTTCTCTATAATTTGTACGTTCATGCACTTCATGCCCTGTCAACTTGATTTTTTGGGGGGAGGGGGGGGTCAGAACAGGTAATCGTCAGAAATCTGCCAGTGAAATGCATTCTGAAATGCCTGAGGATCGAAGTTAGTCTTGCCAAATGTTCTGCATATAGCATCGCAAAGCAGCATATCCTCTTCGTCTTTCAGTTCTTGTGAAACAAAATCCCTCTTCTCAATATTTCTATAAAAAATTCCAAAAGATCTCAGTTTTCTCTCTTTTTTCGTTGAAAGTGGTTCTGCAAACAGAATCATGACGTCATAAATTAGGCAATAATTTTGCATCATGGTCTTCAACGGCTCTATCTTCGATGACGATTGGGGATCGGAAAGTAACCCAAATTGTGCCTTGAAAACGTGCGCAAAACCAATGGCCAAAAATAAATATGTAAAAATCAATAATAAATCAGTTAATGATGTCATCTTGACGTCATGTTTCTAGGACCATCTATGCATAAGGGTTCTTCATTGGTATAAGTTTGATGAAGATGTAAAGTTGCAAAAGTACCAAAGTTGCAGACACAAAAAGCTTGTACAAAACCAATGGGCTTTTGAGCAGAAGAAGAAGAGCGAGAGAATACCGTGGTTGTGGACAACCTCGAAGCTGCTTCGGTTTCAAAGGGTTTGAAAAAAAAATCATAGGATAAACTTGTTAGATAATGGCCAAAAGTGGAAATACAGCAATGGAAAGTTTATTTCCATGTCAGTTCGATGCAAGTCACATGATTTATTATAACTTGCCAGTTGATGACATCATTATGAGAACTTGTACAGGAACCTGTTTCCAGCTTTTGGCCTTACTGTGTGCCCCTAATACGAACTCAGTCAATCGATAACAATGCAAAAGCAGACTTCCTGTTGAAAAACATGTAAAAGACTTATATGTACGGGCAAAATTAAATATTCAAGTAGACAAAAGTGTACAAAAATATAAGAAATAATTAAATATTCAAAATTGTGACGAATTTCTTCTAGGACCTATCTGACCTACCAAGTTCCCCTTCCAGCTATTCACAAATTTTCAACCGAATAGGATATGTACTTCACGAGATGTAGTACTTTAAGCTAGTGTCCCTTTAATGTCACGGGACTTGTCTCCTGATGACGTCATCATCACACCCAATCAGATATGTTCAATAAAGTAAACAATACAAAACATTATAAGTATCGCGGAAAAGACATAAATTAGACATTTTATACATTTATCCATTTTGGCGTCCCACACATTGCGATCTGCCCTCGGCAGCACGTGCTCGGCATTTTGCCAAGTCCCAAATGTATGCAGTACGCACTGTGTGCCGTCTATGTTGCGGGCAGATATTGGGCGTCCATGCACACAATAGCCAATGTTCAGTATGGGTATGCAATTGGGATTTTTGAGTTGGCAATTTATATTGTAAGCGGTTTTTGTCGACGGCGCACAATTCATGCTTATATCTCGTACGGTTGGTTTTTACCGAATTGTGAAGAATAAAAGAAGTTTTTATTTTAACTTCCAGTCGGATGACGTCATCAGCCCTAAACCTCACACACGTGTTGACTGGGTAAAGATGATCATCTACTTCAATTTTCAGGCAAAATTGCGAAAAAGCCAAAAGAAAACAGTACAGAATCATCAGCCCAGCAGGTAATTTTTGTCCATCACACATCCCCTTCCAGATATCATTTGCCAACTTTCAACCCGCTGGGACATATACTTTAGGAGATATAGGGCTTGAAAGGACGCACCTTTAATGTCACTTGACTTGTCTAATGATGACGCAATCATCCCATGAGGTCAATTTTCGTCTATCACACATCCCCTTCCACATATCTGCAAAGTTTCAACCTGCTGGGACATGAACTTCTGAAGATATAGGGCTTTAAAGGATGCACCTTTCATTTCACGTGACTTGTCATTTGATGACGTCATTATCCGATGAGGTCAATTTTTCGTCTATCCCACATCCCCTACCTGATATCTGTTAAGTTTCAACCCGGTCGGACATGTATATTTGGAGATATACAGTCTTTAGGAGTGTACCTTTAATGTCACATGACTTGTCTCCTGATAACGATATCATCACATAATGTCAATATTCCTGTAAAGTACAGAACACCAAAGAGGCATTTAATGCAAATGCCGACTCGGTGGTGCACTTTAGCAATCGGTGACGCATATTCACCATCGGTGATCACCCGTCAGTTAGCGACGCATATTAGCGAGCTTTCGAATCGCGACGGGAGAGCACACAGGACGAAGAGTCTTACTGAACGCCACGGTCCCTACGCACACGTGACTTTGGAATGCGGCCGTGTACTCGAATATCGCGCTCGAATAACATCTACAACTTCTTGAAAATGAACTTCCAATTTGAAACCAAAATATTAACGTTAGTCCGACAATGGATACATTGCAGAACCGAGCCCAGTCTCTTTTTAGTTCTCGACAAGCCCAGAATCTGGGGACAGGTTATAAAAAAGACAGTCAAGTCACTCACCGTTCAGGCATTTGAGTCGGATTGTTCGGCCATGTTGTCCTCATGCAGTTTTACTACACTGTGCATACCACGTGTGGTGTTTATCCGTTTGTATTAAAGTGACCTCGTTACAAAGGAAGACGCGCCACGATTTACAGGTTCCCATTGGCCGATCGCTGAAGTCTTGTGTTAGGCCTAACCTCCGGGTCCAGGGTTCCAGTAAACGACGATCAATACATACAACTCTACGGACAGTGCGTGTTCAGTGGGCGTGGTTTAAACTGAGGTGACCTCACATTCACGAACCGGATTGCCACACCAACGTGCTTATGGACCGGTCGTTATTTTGCTCGAGAACCGTCCTTAAACTTAACGCAACGGTGGCTTGTTCAGTGTCGCGCATGTGCAGATTGCCGTTGTGGCTTGGGTTACCGTCCTACCCAGTCTCCTGTCCTGAATAGAAAGCTCGCTAATAGCGTTCTCACGTCGTAACAGTTTACATACGTTCAAAACGAAGGAACACTAATACAATGCACTAGCCTCCTGTCTATTGGTCACCTGCGTCATATCACATTCCCTCAACAATCCCTCCACATCTCTCATAAATTATGCTAATATGGCAAAAATACTGGCTTCCTATTAGTCAATCGCGATAAAAAGGGGGCGGGGTTTACCTTCAAAAAGAAAGATGTTGTTCAAAGGTGGAAGTTGATTGACAAACCCACTCTGTATTGAGAACCAGAGGTTGACGTTGATATTGAAAATGTGAATGGAAGGGCAGCTGTGAGAATTTGGGAATTGAGTGACAATAAGGAATCTTCCGTCCAAAAAGTAGAGGGTTTCATAATTTGGCGATGAGTTGAATCAGAAGACGTTGGTGTTGTAAATGAACGGAAAAGAAAGCTTCTGGTGCGGGAAGTGGGTGGGCGGTTGATATAACATTAGATTTTGTTGTGAAATTGATCGTAGGAGTTGCGGTAACCAGATTTAGAGATAGTTGAGAGATCGACAAATATCTGAATTTTGAGGTAAATGGAAGATTACAAATCTGAAGTTAGAGGAGGTAGATTTGAAGCTCATACTATATTACAGGTTGATTGAAACTAACCTAACGTCAAAGCCCGTTACCTGTCAGTGAAGTGGATCTTTTGAGATTTGGTGTCTTCTATACCGAACTTGCACATTTAAAATGTATGGTTTTATTTATGGAGTTATGAAATTGAATTGGCTTGCATAGTGTGGTGAGAATCGCCTCTATGTTCTCCCTGAGAGAATAAATCACAGGAAACATTACCCAGACCATAGTTACAAAACCTGTATAAAAAATTATTCATATTTAAAAGGCTGTCTTTTTAAAGTAATCGAATAGCTGCCAATTTAATTTTTCTATATTCTACTCATTGTGACATGTTTTAACATTTTTTTTCAACTTTTATACTTACCACAGTCTTTTCCCAAGTTCATTTATATAAAGGTAGTTTTACCAGCACTTTTTAGGACAAAAAATTACTGACATATTTTGGACATTCGTTCCAGCGTTTTGCAGCCACAAATGGGGGAAATCGGTAGCCCCACTCTATATGCTTATAAAATATGAAATACTCTTTCAACCATTTCTTAAAGGCACTCACTGGGTCAGCGAAATTATGAACTGTATTCTGCACGATGGAAAGGCAGATTTCGACCGCTCTTACATGGTCAACCCACTCGAAGCAACGATTGCGGAAGACCCAATAAAAATGCAAAGCACGGCACCCGGGTACAAGGTTTGCGCAACCATGAAATCACCAAGGTGCATTATAAGCCATTGCATGGAGAGGTTCCGACCCCCTCAAGTCTTGACGAAGAATGCCAAGGTAATATACATTAGAGAGGAACAAACTCAACATAAAATAACGGGAAAATGTCTTTGATAAAACGTTTACAAGTGGTAGCGGGACTACACATGTGGTAAGGATAGTTTTTCTTTATCAACACTGAGACTTATTTGAGGTTGAAAGGTATATACTCCATACAGTTGTCCATCCATAGTGTAGATTTTACTGAGGATTGTTTTTGTGCAAGTTCTTTCTGACATCAGTTTCTTATGGAATTCCATATCTGCCGTCGTGCGTCGTCCGTCGTGCGTCACCCGTCGTGCGTCGCCCGTGGTTTTTTTGTCACGATTGCGCAGTGGTATTTTTAACTTTGTCCCTTGATCGTTTCACATGTACACGTCTTTGATCGATCGATCCACCATGCCTGAATCTCATTTTAGCAATAGAACTAGAAGATGTACATGTAGTCGTTTTTGCTGTTGCGCCAAACTCCAATTGAAAGAAGAAATGATATCCTGACATCGGCTAAGTAACGTGTATATGAAAAAATACCATTTTGGTTACATAAATAAATCAACAAAATAGACTTTTGTT